CGGACCCTTTACGGGTGAAAAATTTTCTGTGTTCTTGTTCTTTAATATTATATTTTTGTTATATTTAACCTAATCAAACAAATGTTCTACGTAATGGCACCAACAGGACTATAAGAATTGTATTAGAATGAGATATGTGTATAGTTTCCAAAAATAGAGGACTGGTGTTAATTATGTCAATGGTCACTGAAGCTGTGAGTGATTACATCAATGTCACCAAGTATTTTTTTTTTTAACGATAATAATTACTCAAGTTTCAAATTGTTATGCTGATGATCACTCAGTAAAAAATTTAACATTAAATTCTACATGTCACCTTTAAGTACTAACACGTGACCAAATACCATTATTTATTGAGAGATGCTTGATGTACAGGGCAGGTTCACAAATTTTTTATAGACAAGATACTTGGCAATTTTGCATTGAAAAATGGTTTAAAAAAATATAAAATAAAAAATGGACCTACAGCACCTTTAAAACTTCTGCGAACCATTCCCTTGTACAAGGGGAATTGCTCTTATTTATTACACTAAATCAACAAAACTTATTGTTAAAAACAAAATGTGGATTTGTTAAAAAATTTAAGCCCATAAAATCTTACTAAAACAAAATTAGCAATATGTTTTCTCATTTGAATGTGTTTAATCATCAATTCCTAATTCTGCAATTTTTCTGACTTGATGTAATAAATAACGTCGTTTGGTGATAGGTTGCCCTATAATGGTGCCTCATACGATTTAATATGAACTTCTTTTACGTAGTTACTATTAATGTAACAGTTAGAAATTTGAGTAACTATTACACTATTGGCGTAATCAGGGGCGGATCCAGCACTCGGCAAGCCAGTGCGGCCGCCCGTGCTAGATCCGTCGAGAAGAAAGTTGAATGAAAAATGTTTGTTGAATATATAAGTATATATATGCTGTTGTGTGCAAGTTGAACAAAATGGCATGCAGAGCAGGTGGGCAGGCATCACTTTTCCAAGCAATAAAGCATGGGTTCGAATCCTTTTATCAGCACTTTGCCCTATAATTTTTAAAACTATAAATAATAACTAATATTAATTAATAATTGTGCTAACATTCACCAAGAGATATGGGGATCAATTCCATGTACTCCCACTTTTTTGTTTAAATTTTTAATACAATAAATAATGACTAAACAATCATATATTATTATTTTTCATTTTCAAAATAATTTCTTTAAAAATTTATTGACTCAAATTATTACTTCATAATTTATATACTTTTATTGGTAGATTTTATCAATTTATTTTATAAAATTTAAATTTGGACAATTTATAATTGTTTTTTATTCTTTTAAAAGTTCAAAAAACAGTTTATTTTTTTTTTTTTAGATTAAAAATTATTTTAATTCTAAAAATCACTACTTTCAAAATTTTGCATAACCTTCGCCTAACCTCGAAGCTTGTCTTTACCTTTTAATCATATTTTATATATAAATTTCATCTTATCTCGCTGAAGTTCGTAAAAATTTCGAAACTTGATCATACATATATGATTGTGAAATGTATTTTTTTCTCATTGTTTTGGATTGTTTTGAATTATATTATTAAATGTATATGACTTTTATATTTCGGTGTATTTATATATTGATAGAAATTTTTTAATATTATTTAAATATTAATAAACAATTTCACTATTGCAACTGTTAAAGGTCAGCGACCGTCCTAGCTGACTCAATATCCTAGATCTGCCACTGAGTGTAATTATATTAAACTTTAATGACAACTGGCGTAATTGAAAGAACCAAAATAAACTCGGAAAAGTAGGTGTATAATGCTTTAGACTATCTCAATTTAGCCTTTTTGCCATGGTTGTTTTACCTCCATCAATCTTTAGACTACCCTATAAGGTCTCTTAAGTTCTAGTTCCAGTTCAAGGTTCATATCTATGAACTCCAAATTATCATACATGCCCGATCACATTATATGGAGACCTGCATAAAGTTACTGCAACTGTAATAGAATGTGTCATTTTCCCTCTATTTGAAAAATAATAAACAAATAAAAATTATATACGATGAATCAGTTTGACTAAAGGATAATGCATCGTGCCATTATTCTGAAGAGTAAAGCAAAATCATCCAAAATTATATAATCTTACCCTTTAAGTGTAGGCATATGCAACACTTTCATGTCCAACTTCCAAGCCAAGCCATGTATCCCCCACAAATCCCTCCATTTGATCCATATTTATAAATTAATTTCCAAGTGAGGTTCACTTCGTCTATGTAAATCAAAGCAATCTTACATAACAAAACACAAACCTAAATGTCATGGACAAGATTCTATTTCTTGCCTTTCTGGTTTTGCTTTTGGTGCCTTGTAGAAATGCAGAACCAAAATTTCCTCGAGAATTTGAAGTTCTTGGGGGGCTCGAGATTTTGGACGTAGAAGAAAATGGAGACGAGGAATTCGAGCTGTTGGAGTTTCCATCATGGGAATCTGATTGCACAAGCAAGAATCTTGTGAATGTGGAAGCATTTGGTGCAGTTGGAGATGGAACATCTGATGATACTCAGGTGATGTATATGTTGTAACACCATTTAAGGCTCCCCCTTTTTTTTCCTTTTTTCTTTTTCAATTTCTTAAAATTTACGTTCTTTTGCACATTTGTGTTACTATCTTCAGGCATTTGTAAATGCGTGGAAACAAGCTTGCCCTACACCAAAATCTGTCTTTCTGGTTCCTGAAGGGCGCCGTTATCTAGTCAATGCTATACGATTTAGAGGGCCTTGTGCTGACAAGTTAGAAATCCAGGTACGTATCCCTCTCTAATGGATTAAGCTTTGCTTTTTTGTTTTACGAATACACAAGGCAATGATACAGATTGAAGGTACGATTGTAGCACCAGATGAACCAAAGAGTTGGGACCCTAAAAACCCAAGGGTTTGGCTTTATTTTTACAATTTAACCAAGGTTCTTTTCCAAGGAGGTGGAGTTATTGATGGCTCAGGCAGCAAATGGTGGGCAGCATCTTGCAAAAAGAACAAGTCCAATGTAATTTTCGTTTACTTTTTCAGGTTTTCACAAACAAGAACTAATTTTACGACCATATCCTAACTGTTTATTTATGTTTTTAACATTTCCAGCGATGCAAAGGTGCACCAACTGTGAGGTTCTTATCCATACTAATTAGATCTGTCACGTGAACACCATGAATAGTAGGCAGCTAAAATAAACAGTGTGCAGAAATGAGAACTTAATGCAATAAAATTGCAGGCATTGACAATAGATTCAAGCTCTGCCATAAGGGTGAAAGGCCTTACAATTCAAAACAGCCAACAGATGCACTTCGTCATTTCAAAATCCGACTCTGTACGTGTGTCTGATGTAAAAGTTTCAGCACCCGAGGATAGTCCCAACACTGATGGAATCCATATAACTGAATCAACAAACGTAATACTCCAGAATTGCATAATTGGAACAGGTTCTCTTTCCCAACATGCTTATCGTATTTAACTCAACTTGAATAGATTCGACTGTTTCTTCAAAGAATATCACAATTGGCAAAAATTTAATGAATTCATACGCCACATTATTATCACCTCCCAATCGTCTGGATGTTCAGGAGACGATTGCGTTTCAATTGTCAACGCAAGCTCAAATATCAAGATGAAGACCATCTATTGTGGTCCTGGTCATGGAATCAGGTACACTATACATTTTGCATAATTAGGTACAAAGTTCTTTTCGAAAATAGATTACAAGCGTCAATGAATACCACATGATCAAGAACAGTTCGAATATGTATTCAAAATTGTTGTACTTACTTGCACAGTATCTTTCATGACTATGATACACCAGCATAGGTAGTCTTGGGAAGAATAATTCCACCGGTATAGTTGAAAAGGTAGTTCTGGATAATGCATTCCTTCGAGGTTCAACCAATGGCCTTAGGATCAAGACTTGGCAGGTAATTTTCTTTGTCTTCAGCAGAGAGAAATTGCAAGCAAAGTAGTATCACTAAATGTCCATTTTCTGCTCCATCAGTCGTCATTATCCTTGATCATTTGAGAACTGAAGGAAAGTCCTGGTGATTTATAGGGAGGATCTGGTTATGTTCGTGCAGTACGCTACCAAAATGTGATGATGCAAGATGTTTCAAACCCCATTATCATCGACCAATTTTACTGCGATTCACCATCAGCTTGTCAAAATCAGGTGAATATATTGGTGAATGACAACTTTTTTGGGGTTGAAATTGTTTTCTCCATCAAAAATCATAAATGTGCTTTCTTTTCACTCTTAATAGACGTCAGCAGTGGCGGTAAGCCAAATCGTGTACCGTAACATCATTGGAACTTCAAGAAGCCAAAACGCAATGAAATTTGCTTGTAGCGACACCGTCCCCTGCACCCACATAGTGCTCAATAACATCAATTTACAGAGAAAGGATGGCACGGTTGAAACCTATTGCAATTCTGCAGCCGGCTGTGGCTACGGATACATTCAACCTTCAGCCGAATGCCTTGCTTCCTCGGATAAGGACATCATTAATAATCGGGAAAAAGAAGCAGAATATCTCATCCATACCGAACTTTGAGTCAGTTTTCCTTTTTATATACTTAGCACTGT